ATATAGGATGACCCTGATCCCACCCACAATCTGGGTCCTCATTTTACCCACCTCGGAAGGATGGAAGGCTGAGCCGGTGAGATTTGAACCGCTGAACTGCTGAACTAGCAGTCAGCTGAAGTGGCCTGCAGTACTGCACTCTATCCATTGCGCCACCTCAGATGAGAAGTAAAGGATGGAATCTAATTAAACAGAAATCCAATTTAGAATCTGAACTATAGAATTAAGGAAAAAATTGGAGTGGAATGGATTGCTTTTAGAAGTTGTGGGTGGTCCATCACTGGAGGTTTTTAAGATGAGACTGGACACGGCCATGTGTCTGAAATCTGATAGGGTCTCCAGCTTGAGCAGGGGGTTGGTCTAGAAGACCTCCAAGATCCCACCCAACTCCATTATTCTTATTCTTTATTCTATTCTAAATCTGCTCTAAAAGGACACCCTTTTAGCCAGAGATGCTCCTCGTTAAATCTCAGATCCAGAAAAGAGGGATTCTTTTCACTAAACCACCGCCTGAATCTGTGATTCTACGGTGCTCTAATTGATCAGAACTTTATTTATGAATGCATTTGTTGAAATCAGAACCAGTTGTGGATGGGATCAGGGTCATCCTATATCCGTAACCTTAAGCATTTTCACCTCTTAAAGGAAATATTCTCTTCTTTCTGTTAACTGAGAACGCTATCCGGCGTGGTACCATATCCATTCAGGAAATTAATAAGCCTTTCATTCAACCCCAGGAAAACGGGGGCCCTGCTATTAGCTCCTCATAAAAAACATAGCCCAGCAGTGAGCCGCAGATGTCCCGAAATAGACCATAAAAATCCGGGAAACAGTTTTAAAAGGAATGGTTCTTGCTCGTCAAATCAGCAGTGTCACGGGGATAATGAAATATGGGCAGGTAAGATGTACAGAAGCGAATGCATTTATCGCATTCTGAAGCAAGAGACGAAGGGGAATTCCTGGCCCAGGTAGTTCTGTTCATCAATCAACAGCTGTAGGAAGTTCATTGTAGACATCTGTGGATTTTCCTGAAGAAAAAGAAGAACCCCTTTGTATGTTTTCGGGCTGTTTGTATCTAAGGTACAAGATGCCATGATCAGACATTACCAATAAATAGCAATAGCAATAGCAGTTAGACTTATATACCGCTTCATAGGGCTTTCAGCCCTCTCTAAGCGGTTTACAGAGTCAGCATATCGCCNTCAATGGACTGAATTCTCCACAGAAGAGAAAGAAAATATTTCACTATCTTAAACAGTTTAAGAATGATATAATTTGTTTGCAAGAAACTCATATCAAATCAACTGATCAAAAATATTTGATTAACTCAAAACTTGGTCAACATTTTGCAGCCTCTGCTATGGAAAAGACAAGAATACTTCTCATGTTATGTTTGAAGAGGAAAGTATAGTGACTCCAAATTCCTTCCAAATATAGATCAGTGCTGACTAGATAGTTGATGGCTACAGTACAAAGAATGGCACAGTAGAGAAACGCAACAGGAGCTAAATACAATACCCAACTGGAATTGCCCTTATCACAGAATTAACAGGCCTGGTGAAAACACGAGAGAGTGCTTGGGAAAAATTGATTTTTGTGAAGAAATAAGATTGTCATGTGCTTCCGGGGGCTTTCAGTGTGAGACATTGAACTATGTTGACATCATCCATTGTGTGAATGTTTACTTTCAAGTGGGATTTGGTAGGGTAAATACAGTATGATCAATATTTATGTAATGACAATTTCCCCTCCCATTTCCAGGCAATATCATATTTAATTCATCTCAAGCCCAAACAACGTGAACCCAAGTTTCCTTAGGTTGTTATACCAAATAAAACTCAGGATTTCTATCCTATTTTTCCCCCTCAAAATGTTTCCTTATGAACATAAAACATCTGGGAAGGAGGCAGAGCTAAGACCGAGAACTCAAGCCATCTATAATAGTGGATATTTATCAAAAAACCTGTATATTTTGAAATGCTATTTCAAAACTTCAAAAGTACCATTCATAGATTGAGTCAATATGAAGGAGATTTATTTATTTATTTATTTATTTATTTATTTATTATTTACTTATTTATTTAGTTATAACATTTATATGCTACCCATCTTACATCAAAGAAACTTGAGGTAAGTTAACCATCAACATACACCCCTAAATTTATACAAGAACCAAATAAGTAAGCATGTGGAAATCTCTTCTTTTCAGAATACTTTGATGTATTTTACTTCTAAAATTTGAGTACAACTATGTATACAGGGGAATGTTTGCACCGAGCTGTATAGATCAGAGTGAAAATAACCAAGCAATATAATATGGTATAAGTTTATAAACAGAACGAAATAGTAATAGGAAGTGAATATTAGAAAGTGCATGTACAAGAATATGTTCAGTATATGCAGACTTTCAGGTACAACTGACAAAAATGGACATTCAAAGCCTAAGATACTTTTTTTTCTTCACTTGTTGCAAATTCACTTAAGGAATAAATCTCTTGAGGCTCTGTTTGCCTTGTCTTTGGAAAGCTTCTGCATATTCTAAACATATGTCTTCTATTTTTTCCCCAAAGCCATTGAATTATTCTGTAAACCATGGCAGTTTGGATTAATTGACTAGCCTGTTTCTTTTTATTGCTCTTTGCAAGGCAGAACAGTACTGACCTTTTCCCAAAGTCCAGACTAGAATAAAGATCAAATAGTATGCTGTATATCTGTTAATACTAGAGCTGGAATGGCTTGTTCCATCCATCTCCTTATTATTGTTATTAAATTATAAATGTAATAGAGTAAAGTGTAGAGTCTAGAGTAGAGTAAATAGATGGCACTGTGTACTTCATGTGCAGGAGAAAAGTACTTAGTCACTGTTTCTGTATTATTTTACAAATATAAAAGCTTAAAAATTCATTTGGCTTAAAAAATATTAAACAGTCAACAAACAGACCAGGCCAATTTCAAAATGATGATGGGTTGATTCTCACATGGCGGCCAGAGCATGGAGCAAGCACCATTTCTAGCACACTAACGTAATTGCATT